GGGGGGGTGGTGAGAGTTGGTCGGGTAGTCGGGCAGCACTTTCGGCGTCAGTGGTGGGAGGGCATTGAGCGATTCCCCTCACCGCGCTAGGCAGTTTTGAACCCTCGCCGAGCATTCTTTTGATAGGAGACCATATTATTACCAAAGTACACCACAAGATTAGCGGCTCCTACCGTTTATCGCGTATATTGTAGAATAAAAAAACTAGCCAAATAATCAGAAACGAACCTTGAAGTTGAGTTCAGTGAGCACATTGCCGAGCGACATGAGGTATGAATGGAGGTGCGGTACAAGACGAGAAATTTCGTCGCTGGTGATATTCTCTATCAGTTGCTTCCACTGAAGAATTTCATTTTTTTGCTAGGGTTCCACGCTTTAATAGAGATCCCGTTACCTTCTCCAGGCCTGATATCCTCGTTACTGCATCGGTATTGTCGACGACCATCGGCGGCGATAACTGATGGCACGATGCCGAAGCGAAAACGCCTCTCTCCCGAAGCCAGTTTCAGGGTGTTCCGGGAAACTACTTGGGAGGGCACTGGAAAACCCAAATAGTTCAAGATTTGGAGCATAAACGGAGAGAATAGGAGCTCACCATTTGACACTGTACCTACTGGAGCCACGACAACATTCTTGCTGAAGCGGGCGTAATCCTTTTGTTGCTGCGACGGCAACGACAGTAGAATGCGCTCAAAAGTGATCCTTCCGAGGTAGGCTGAAAGGAAGCTGTTGTGGGAAGAAGCGACGAGCCCTGAGAGTAAAAGATACCTTCCAGTTTCTTGGCAGTGATGGCAGCTTGCTCAGCCATGTCGCTATCCGACGATCCCATGAGTTTTGTAAGGGTATCCAGAAGATTCGACCAATCACTGTTGAACAACTGAAAGCGTAGCCAGTCAATACTCAGATATTGGAAGAATTTAAGCTCTAACAGGCTCCAACGGGAAGAATTTTCGTGATTTTTCCGCATCGCCTGGGCTCACAACAGCTTACCTCTGGGATAAACATGGCCGGAAACTCCCGAACCACTTCGGTTTTTGTTATTCGTTCCGTAGATGTGAGCAGAAAATTGGACAATGTTTTCTGCAATTCAAATTATAATCTCGTTCGTAACTTATAGCCGCTACAGAACCATCACAGAAAAAGAAGATAAAGAGGTTTGCAAATCTTACCAGCATAGATCCGAGAGCTTCCGGTTGCAGCCTTAGAAACACTTGTATCGCTTGTATGGAAATTTTTCGGACAGTGATTTTTGAACTTCCCATTTTCGGCAGTATATTTGGCATCAGGTAACAGATACAGTACTCGAGATTCTGGAATGCGGTAGTAATCTCTTTTATCGGGAGCCATAGCGCTCAGTCAGCACACATTTTGTAAGTTTCTTGGAACGCACGGTAGAACATTATGGTAAGTATCCTCCGGGAGAGTCGTACTTAGTCGCTGAGAATGGGGGTCATATTTGGGTAAATGGGTGTCTGGCTCCTAGAGAAATTTCCCCAACAAGCACAAAATCTCTTCGGCTTTTGGCTTTTCGAGATTCCCGGAAAAATACTGAGAGACGATAAGAGAGTGGGTGAAGCTGGGGGACCCTATAACCTTTTCGCGCTAAATGATCTCAGCTATGAGTCTCGTTTGAGCCTAGAATTGGAGCTCTTCGGAGTGCTCCCGGATTCCGTTTAAAGTCGTAACCAGCCAATAGACAGAAAAAGCGAAATGTTGGCTTAGAAATGATGATGTACACTCCTCCTCTTCCCACTCTACACGAGAATC